CTGATGAAAAAACTTCAACTTCGCATAATGACAATGAACCTTCCACTCCGACCAGTTGTAAGAATACGTGTTGTCCAGTCAAAACTCGGGCACAGATGAAGGTTTTGGAAACACCTTCATCTGAAAAGAAATATATTTTTGAAGTGATATTGGCACTGTCAGGAATAATGAAACAATAGTTGTTTTTTAAATCGATCAAACTGAACTTCATTTAAAACAATGAAGAATGAATCAATTCAAATGGAAGTTATTATTATGTGCTAGCGACACGATCAATCTTCGCACGAATAGCAGGGAATATATTCCTATATTTTTTGTCATAGTGAACTATGAACTGTGAATTACGTTCACAACTAGGAACTTCAATTTTGAAATAGTATCTGTCTACCTTGAGGAAATACAAGATGATAATGCGATCCTAATCTTCAAAGTCATTCACAATATACAGTGCATTCTATTTAAACCGAGCCACCCTGAATAACTTTTGGTACAATGATTTTCAGGAAAAATAAAAAACACATCAACAATAGTATACAGCGGGACACATTGTGACCACCCAGAGCACCCCCAGAGCAGGTCACCAATTTTTTTTAATGGATCACCCTATATTGCTCCATGATAAGCATATTTCAACAAAGTATAAACTGAAGCTCATGGTTCGGGAGCTACAAATCATTTGATTTGAAAACGATCCACCCTGAATAACTTTTGAAACAATGATTTGCAGGAAAAATAAAAAACAGGTCAACAATTATACCGGAGGCCACATTTTGAAATATTTGTTCAAGAAACAAATATGGAAGCAATAAATCAGAAAAAGAGATTTTTTATTAATTTTCGAATCAAAATCTGATTACTGGACAGTAAGAAGAAAACAAATTTCTATAGTGAATGTTCATAAACGTTTTCACTAACTTCCATACAATGGTGCAAACAAGCTTCCATTGCTGCCTTCACATGGTTGAGAATCTCGGGAGTTATTTCTCTGCAATGCCTCATGATATTCTATCTCAAATCTTCTTATGTTGTTGATTCTATCTCATAAACTTTAGACTTCAAATGACCCCATAGAAAAAAATCTACAGGAGTGAGATCCGGAGACCTTGGTGGCCATTCTGTAGGACATCTTATGCCAATTTAGCGACCAGGAAAATAACCTTCCAAAAATTGTCGCACTGGATCTGCATAATGAGGAGGTGCACCATCCAGCTGAAAAACTTCTCAATTGCCCTATTGATGCACGGTAATATTCGATTCTCCAATATATCCAAATATTTATCACCAATCAAATTAACATCGATAAAAAAAGGTCCTATGATGTGGTCACCTAAAATTCCTGATCAAGCATTCAGTTTTTGAGGTCGTTGGGTATGAACTTGACGGTATAAATGAGGATTCGTA